TAATAGCAAAGAAAAATTTTGTTAAAAAAGATTTAAGTGGAAAAAAGCATAACCCTGTACAAGTATTTTTTTTCCACGAACTCATCGAGCCGTTGTTTTTAGGAGAAAAAATAATTTTGAATCAAAAACAGCAAATTTGATGCTTGGATCTACTAGCTCCAAAAATACTTTGTTTGGAAACCAACTTAGATATAATTTCAAAAGTATTTTAGCTTCATTGAAATTTCGTTAAAAAGTTTACATGTTATAAGAAGTTAGATTCTATAGGTAATCAATTTTCATATTTTCAGCCATGTTAAAAAATTCTTTGCTCAATCAAATTTAAGATTTTGGAGGAATTAGTATTTCAGCGTTAGTAATTTAAGCTGAAAAATAATTGTATCATTTCCTTAAACACACACACAATTGCTGAAAATCTGGGAAAAAGGGTGGAAACTTATCAGTTTTAGCTCGCTGGAAACGCAGCTACTTCAACATGAGTGATGTTATAGGCCAAAATCCTTTTATTATCTTACTAAATAATTGAGAATAATAATATAGTTCTTAATTAAAATGCCATTACTTACGTCAAAATACAATTTAATGAATATGATATAGTTTTCTATGAACAATTCAAAAAAAATAAAATTAATTTGCGTTTTGTTCCTCAAACAAGCATTAAACTAATTTAAAATAGTAATCGACATGAAAAAAAATTTAATATAAACTAAAAATATTAAATAAAGTAATTTTATGGTTTGATTTACAACAAGGAAGAGAACTCATGTTTAGTCGCATTCAAGCCACTCCTAAATAATGTCTTTCCAATCTCCAACAATCGATGAGAAGAGAGCAAGATAGGTCTCTATTCCCAACCCCTTTTGCATTTTAATTTTACAAGGAAAGCACTTTAAACTTGGGTATTTTCTGGAATAATTTGCTCATTTACAGATCTCAATTGCAATTAGACATTCAAGCGATTAAAACTAAGTAGAAAATAAATAAATTGCGCTCAGAAGTCTTCATGAACTTTTTCCTCAATGTATCAGCAAAATCTATTCCTTTATAAAATAACTAATTCAATCAATATTTTCGTTTATTGCAATTGGAAAATATGTTTGTCGAAGATATTATTGATGCATTCTTGCATGAACACTTTTAATATAATTTGTTATAATTTCATATTAAACTTGAAGTCTTGAAAATAATATATATTTTTAGTTTCTTTGACAATCTACATTTTTGGACATGTTATTTTATTTAAGACATTAGCTCCTTCAATAAGTTTGGCATTCGAATCATTTCTTGCATGTTATATATTTTTCTAACTATTATTGAATAGATTTGCTTTACATTTGCTTTAAAACTATATTCTAGTTTAAGTATAATATGGCAATTTCTCAAAAAACTTAATTTGAAAAAGAAGCATAATATATAAATATTTATATCATAAGTGAATAAATCGATGACTGTGTGAATTAATTAAAAGTGTATTCTTGAAACATTTAATTATCACGTATCTTTGTCTTAAAGTAAAGTAATTGAGAATTTTTTAAAAGGTCAATTGTAGAGTGTGGATGATATATATTTTTTATTATAAATATCTATTAAACTTTAAGGTATCATTAAAACATCATTGCTAAATTTAGTTTATTTTTATTATTATTTAAAATTTATAGAAGGAAAGTTTTCTAAACATTATTGATGAAATTGAGTGACATTCTTTGTCTTTGTTAAAGCAAATATTCATTTTGAATATGTACACTCTGTGTAGTAGACAGTTGTCTAATATACATAACATTGAGTAGTATGAAAACGTTTGTTAGACTTGACCATTTAGAAATTTGACTAATGAATTTGCTGATGAAATGTAACTGCAGCTCTAAATGAAACTGAATTTGCAAGCTGATAAAATTTCAGAGACGAGTATTCAATCATTTTTTTTAAATCTATCCTTACAAATATATCTCATATTACAAATATAACTCATCCATTTTTCAAAGTTGCACTTGCATAATCCTGTCTTATATTAAATAATAAAATAATACAAAGGCACTTTTATTTTTTAAAAAACTGAAAAACTTTTTTATGACATTTTAACAATTTAAAAAATTTCAGAAATTTCAATAGGTTTATAAGTTGTACCACTTTTGCCAATAAATACACATATGTTTAAGTTTTCAATAAAACTGAAAGCATAATTTTTAAATTTTAAAATGCCAGCCTCCTTCATTCACGTTGTTTTGAAATTAAAATTTTGATATTCCATAAATAACACTAAAGAAATAAATAGGATAATTATCATCTCAGAATTAATTTTTTTTCAATAATTATTTTTTAAAGAAATTTCTGCTAAAACATAGATATATACCTAAATGTACAATCTAGTAACAATCAGGGAAAAGCAATCGCCAAGAGCGTTTGATTACTATCAGACCTAAACTGCATTATCCGTGATTCCGGAATCAATAGTTCTTTCAGTGTTTCGAAGTCCTTCCCTTTCTTCTCAGCTACTTCGTACTTATAACTAGTGAACTTCAATTAGAGTGGAGTTGCTAGTCGCAGCTGTGTACTCATAAGGAAAATCTTTACTCCAAATCAGTAAATTTCATCAATAAAATATGAGATTCAATATAGTGTTAATAAATTGGAAAACTTGAGTCGGTTATTTTTATTAGAAAATACTTTGTGAATCGATCTCTACAAAATTCAAACCAAATAGGCTTTTGAGTTATAATATTTTTTTGTGAATATGATTAAATGCTAATCTTTATTTAGAGATTGACTCAGAGAAAAAAAAAATTTTGAAAACAATATAGATTGTTATTAAATTAACAGAACAGATAAAGTAGTAACAGAATCCACCCTACTCAAAAGTTTTAAGCTATATTTTCTCAAAATCAATGATTAGAAATTATCTCAAAATCAATAATTCGAAATTATCTCAAAATCAATAATTCGAAATTCCAAGGAACATGTTTTCAGTTCTAATGCAGTCAGAGTTTTAAAATTTGCTATTCACTTCAATTATAATATTTTCTTTTGTAGAATAGTAGTGGAATTTTAGAAATGGATTTGAGTTTTGATAACAAAGAGAAAAGGAAAAAAAACTAAACATTAGCTTGTTTGTTTTTTTAAATAGTAAAAAGTTAGCTAAAATATGAATTTAACTTAAATAAGAGAGTAGTAATATTGTGGTAAGTTCTTATTCATTTCTGTGTCCTTAACTGTACGCGAAATGTACTCCTTCATTTAAAAAAGAATATTGATATTTCCGAACATTTGTAAGGCCTTGTAAAATAAATAATTTCGAAAGATTTTCAAAATTAATATTAATTAATGTTAATTAAAGTGAATATGCATGTTATGGTTATCCATAATTATACTCAATGCAAGAGTAAAATGGGATTCTAATGTTATTTTTAACCGAATAGTGTTCTGCTTAAAATATTTTGATTTTAAATATACCTCAAAAGCCCCAAGATCACTTAATGTTTCTTGTTGCATTTTTTATTCATAATATGCATTTGCAACAACATTACATTTATCTACACAGGATTATGCTTTTGTTTTTTTATAAACCTCAAAATCTCTGAGACAACTTTAACTCATTTAATTTTTCTTATTTCGCAGAATATTTTGAAAGGCAATCGATAAAATAATTGACTATTTCACTTCAGTAAAATAGTAAATTGAATCAATAAATTATTAAATTCAATAGTATTTTAATAAATTGGACAACTTATAAGAAAACATTTTGAAAGTCGATTTCTCGCAACTGTTAGTATAGTATAGATTTTAGAACCAAGTTACTATAGTATAGATTTTTGAGTTGTAATTAAATGTTTTGCCGAATAATACTAAACATCAATCTTGATTACAAGTGGTTTGACCTATTTTCACTTTTTCATTGATAACAAAACATTTAAAAAACAGAAACTAAGAGCACTGAATAAAGAGAAATTCATATTTTTAAATTTACGAAACTTTTTGTTATAAATATGAATATGTATCATCCTTAATAAAAAAATATTTCATACAAAACATTTCAAACTTTTTTAATAGAATCTAAAACGCAAATGTTTAGAACCAGATGACAAAACAACTGCTTAAATATTTGTGCACTAATGTTTGTGAAGAATTCTTTCCACTTAAATTTAAATTATCAAAATTAATTCAACCTAAGAATAATTTTACAATGCCTTTATTTATACGCATAAGGCAAATAAGCTTTTGTTAACATTATTTTTTGTGAAATGAAACTAGTTTAATTTTAAAATCTTTTCTTCATTACACAAAATTTTAAAGGAATAAAAACTCATTTTTCTCCCTTATTGCAAATAGTCAGAAGCATAAAATAGGACTTCAAAATAATGTGATGCATGTCGCAGACATATTTTGAAAACATTGTAATAATATGTAAATTATATATTAAAAACGTTAAGCTAACATATTGTTTACCTTATTTTTCTCTCTTTGTGTAAAAATTAAACAACATTTTTTTTCTTATTTTAGCTTTTACTTCATTTAAATCAGTACAAAGACATACTAAAAGTTTTTTATTTCTAGTGGCAATAAAATACGAGCAATGATGTTCATTATTTAAAATTTAAAAAGTACTGTAAATACATTATTTATAGCAAAAAAAATCATATTTGAATCGATAATAGAATAGCAGAATATTATAGTATCTATCATTACTAGAACAAAAGTATTTAAATTAAACTTGCATTTTAAATTAATAAAAAATAGCAATTTTTAAAAAATAGTTTTTAAAAGTACTGAAATATATTCATGGTTTTCGAAAATCATACTTTCTCAAAAAAATTTAACAGAACTTTTTTTTTTACATTTCAAAATTAACTGAAAATATATGGTCAAAGGTTTATGATGGCCAATGTCATGTTACAACTGGGAAACTAAAATGCATGTTTAATTAAAAACTTTACCGATAAGCATATATGTATTTGGCACATCGTTCGTGATTTCATCGTCAACGTTTAACATCCAAATCATACGCGATGCCTGGAAAAAATGCTCAAGGTGAAACATTAGGTCAGACTCTTTTTAAGAGGGAAACTTTTCAACTAAACCTAGCATGCACACCATGCAAAATTTTCGGGAACCTCTTAGGGTTTGCCCGATGATGATGATGATGTGAATGTAGCACGTAATCTGATATATTTTGTGTCAACATAGCTGATTCAGAAGCAGTGCTATGAATCAACCACTCACAGCCGGGATTCCAATCAGAACCATCTTTAGTCGGGAGGGAGAGCTATATGACTTGAGTCAAACCAGTCTTTTTCTCCGCATATCGTAGTTTAAAAAAATCTTGAGAGAACAAAAATTCAGTATAATTTTTATTTATTAATTTCAAAAGAGGTGTAGTATATGCAGAAAGCGGTTTAAGAAATTAAGATGCGGTTTAAGCTACGAATTTGACAAATATTTACAAAATTCTAAGTTAAATTATTGATAGTCATTTCTTTTAATTTTTTATATCATTGAAAACGTAATAAAATGCAAAACTATCATAATTAACATGCTTCATATCAATCGCACAATTTTGATGCATTTTTTCTTAAATTGAATGTTGCACATTAAGCGGATAGAGGGACACAAAATGTGTGACGTAAAACAGATAAAAAATTTCGTTGTGATAGAATAATATCCATCGCTACTGTTACAATGTAATCAACAACTGTTAATATGAAATTAATTCTTAAGATGGAATTTATAAATCAGGAAGGTTTTTAAAATTTGTTTTCATACTCTTTCCAATTAGTATAAAGTATTTCATCAAAAAAATATAACTCGATGAATCTATAACAATTATTTTCTCATAAACTTTACAGAAGACGCTCCTGTTCTGAAGTATGTTTTCAAGCGCCAAACCATTCAACCTGGAGAGCGTTTTTCATTGCGATGTGTGGCATCAGGAAATCCGATTCCAAGAGTCACGTGGTCTTTGGACGCCAAGCCTATACCTGAAAACCACAGAGTTCAATATGGAGATTTCGTTAGCATTCATGCTGAGGTAGTGAGTTTTGTTAATGTAAGTTCTGCTCGCTCAGAAGATGGTGGGATTTACGAATGTAGAGCTCAAAACGAAGCTGGATCAGTGAGTCATCAAGAAAGAGTTGATGTCTTTGGGCCACCTTTCATTAGAATAATGAACAATGTAACTGTTGTTGATGGTGATTCATTGTTTTATCAGTGCCCTGCTTCAGGATTTCCAGAACCAGTTATTACATGGAGTAAAGGTAGCTTTATTTATTTTTTTTATAAATAATTTGTTTTCTATGTTTCAATCAAATGAAATGATATGGATGTAATAGTAAAATAATGTTTCACAAAAAAGTCACAGTAGTTCACCATTTTCTTATTAAATTTTTTTGAAAGTGTTTTAAAACGAAATCATCGATTATAGATTAAAAAAATAGGTACTTAACATTTTTGAATAAAATATTTTACAGCAGTATCTAGTTTAATAGCCGATACCACAGCACCTACTTCAATTTTACCCGTGGTATCTATTTATTTATTTCCACTAATAATTAAGCATCACTGGCACCAACATTACTTGCTGATTTTTTACTGCTCCAAACAGCAGATACTAATAATTATAAGCACTATTGAAAACAGGGTAGCTATTTCTTGCAGATTTGAATAATTAATTTTACATTGTACCTTACATTTATCGTCCACAAAGATGATTCTCGAAAGTATTTAATTTAAACCAATTATTGCATACCTAATCCTACTGATTAGCAAATTTAAAACAACTGACAAGACTTCGAAAGTAATGTTATCCAAGCAATAATATTCAATGCTTTTGAGTTTTCATGGTGGTCTAAGATACAATATCATGTTGCATCTTAGACCTATTTTCTTTACTGAGAAAAAAAGGGCTTGATTAATTTCATTTACTACAAAAAAGCTTTGATATGAAAAAATATATTCTTCCCTTAAAATACTTTAAAAATTCTCAAATCATTAAATTCTGAAAAAAACCCTGCTTAATGGAATAATACTCTACTTACATTTATATACTTGGTATACACATTATATTTCTAAGTATGTCATCATTGCATAATTTTAATATAATTTGGAGTAACATTATGCTATATATTATTTATAACAATAGAAAAAGATTTTAGTGAGTAAAACTGCTCAATAAACTTATTGAAAACTTAGGTATATCAAATTTTCTTCTATTGAGTCAGTTATTTTAAAAAATAAAAATTTATTTTAAACTATTGCGTCTCAAATATTCGATAAAACACATAAGTCTTAAAAATATATCTAATTCCTTATTTTCCTTCTATCTTGCTATTTTGAAATCCGGTTCGTGGTTAGTCAAATTTTCACAAATTATTTATCAAATAAGCTATTACTACGATAAAAGAAAGCGTTAAAATCAGCAAAACTGAGTAAATCAGTAAATATATTTAAATTGAGTCAACGAAGTATAATTATACATTCTTAGTGAACCAAAATTTTCTCAAACGCAAGCAAATTTTGTAATTTGTACCAGTCTTTCAAAATTTATAAGAACTTGCACTAAACTATTTTTATAAAAAAAACTCTTATTTTTATATACAATTGTTACTCCCCAATTCGAGTAGGAATTTTTTTCCTGTAAAATGACAATTTAATTTGAAATATTCTTAGGTTTTACTTTAAGGAAATGACTTTAAGAAAAATATTTCATTTAAATTGCTTTACAAGTTTTTCCCCTCTAAGTAATTATCTTTATTCTCAAAAATCTTAGATGCTGATTAAATTAAAGGGAACTTTAATTTAGTCAGATAGCTTTTATTTTATTTTTCTTAAAGATTAAATTTAAAATTTAATCTACAGTTGATTAGCTTATTAACTGTAGATTATAAATTAATATCAGAAAAATTTATATGAATATAAAAATGAAAGACGAAGTAATTTTAGAAATATAGAGCAACGAAATAATTTAAAAACTAATTTAATTTCTGCACTGCCAATGACAGAAATCATTATATAAGCATAAAAATTCATTAACTTCAGTATTTTGTAATTTGAAGATTTTAAGACAAGTATTTTTTATTAATCTTTTTTCTTTAAATCTATTTAATAAATACAAGAAAAGAAAATTATTCCTTCTAGTTTATTTTTAATTTTAAGCAATTATTATAGCAATTTTTAAAGTTTCCATAAGAAAATAAAGATTGAAATTTTTGAGAATTTAGACACAAAGGCTATTAAAAAATAATTACCTATGAAGTAAACAATATAATCTTTAAATATTAAAGAAAACTGATATTTAATTAAAACAGATATATAAAATACATAACTGATTTTTTTATCATTGTAGACTTGTGATACTAAAAATAGTGATACTAAAAATATAAACGCATTAGTAATTTTAAAATAATTTTAATTTTAAATTATTTTTGAATAAAGTATGATTGTGCTCTGAGAAAAAAAATATGGACAAAACTACTGTATATGGTAAATATGGTAAAATATATCGTGTTTCAGCCTCTATGGGAACTACAAAAAACTGGGTACTTTCTATTGAAGTGCGTTGGTAATGATTTTAGGGAAATTTCCAATAAAATATGATTTTCATATGTAGTAAAATTTAATAATTGTGGAAAATTTTGCTAATTTTGTCATAACATCTCAAAGCATGGAATAAAAACCATATATTCGGTTAAATTTACTTCTCAGTTGTGTATTTTTAATTGAATATGCGTTAATGTATAATGCTGTAAAAGCTGTGAAGTGTTAATATCAACTATAATTTTTGAAACCATAATTTCCGGTAAACCAGTATTGTATGAATGGGAAAATTACCAAATGAATGATTTCAATATGTTTGTTTTATTACTATAAATGGCATTACCATTTGGTACGATAATTTTACCGGCATTTTTTTCTCTTTCAGTAAATATCTTTAATATGTGCTCATGAACATACAAGAAATAAGACGTAGATACATGAATTAAAAGAAAAGAAAACAATAAGTAATGAAAAAAATTAACAGCTATAAATTCATAATTTTTTAAAATATTTTGATATGCTTATATCACAGTTTCTCTAAATAAAATTACGAGTAAATGTTTTTGTAAAAAACAGTTCCGAAATTTGCGTCTAACTTTTCTCAGCTTTATCTAAAATTATGTTCAAAAATAAATAGGAAAAATTACATTTTCCACATATCCTTTATAAGCATTACAAATACAGCAGAGTTCAAACATTACCAGCGAGTATATTCTTAGAACACTTGTCAGCCTTTGGTTGTTTAAATAAGCGAAAAACATCTTCCAATTTTTTTTTCTTTATTACTACAATCAAAATCAAATAATATCACATTATTGCTTATTTATTACAAGTTATAAAATTTGTGAACATAAAATCAATAAATATATATATATTTTCGCGTTCCAAAGTATCGGTCTAGATTACGATTTTTACTGAGTTTAAAAAAAATTAATGAAATTACTAAAAATACTGAAAAATGATATAATGCTGTAAAGACTTGAAGCCATGCTGTGATTGTTACACATCGGTACCCTAAGTACTAATACTTTCACAGTAATTTGATCTAAATATAACGTATTAAGCTCTATTGATGAATTATATTGAGCTGTCAGAAAAAAAAATTCCCTCTGTATATAAAGTTTTCCCTCAAATTGTCTTGCAAATTATAAACTTAAATAAGTCACGTGTAAAGCAAACTGATGCAAATAAATTGCTTTCACTTAGGTTCAAAATTTGACTTTTCCAGAAAAAAAAGGGTATTGAAGAAAATTTATGATGCTGTCACTTAAAAATCCATTGATGTATGAAGGAAACAAGAAAAGTCTCTTTTCTCCGCTATAAAACTGAGAATCATTTTCTTCTATTTTTACCTGTCCCCTTGCAACTAATTTAATCGGAACAAATAGGTGTTCTAACCCCTTAACGGAAGAAAATGCGATTAGAAATTCTTATGACATATCAGTACAAAGTGGTTTCTTCTGTAGCTAGTTTCTAAAACAACGGAAAATCTTTTTTGAAACAATTACAGCAATCCTAAAACCTTCCTAAAAGAAAAGTGGAAACATATGTTCTTCTCTCCTGACCCTTTTGCTTTATTTTTCGGTGTTGAATCATAAATGAGTTACAAATATAGTTTTCACTTGTGTTTTCTAAATTTTGTTTACTTTCCACCCCTCAATGGAGAGGATAGATAAAAGTTTTCAATTGTTAAATTTTTGAAAAATCTAAAAAAAAAATGTTTTGCCTGAATAATTGACTCGCATCAATGAACTAATTGAGTTCCAATGTTTAAATCGACGGAGCATTAAAATGGTTCATGCCCTAGGAATTATGGGAGATTTTTCACTTCCGAAATCATTCGCATTCGTGCTGTTTCAATAATTATCCATGAAGGTTTTGAAATGAGGAGAAAAAAACAGAAATACTGTTATTGACGGTGATAACTAAGAAATGGGATATCTTCCTTTAGAATAAAAGATTTTTCTGCAAATAGCTGCAGAGAAAGAATATGATTATCGACTTATGCTATTTCACGCGTAAATGAAATACATTTATTTCAAATGTTTATCACTTTCTAGTCAAAATGTATTTTCCAAATTACTAGCTATTATTTTTCAAACGCGACAATGTAACTTGTTTCTGGAAAACTAAAAGAAAATATCAATAAATTTAGTTAGTAATTTGCGTGTTCGTTCATTTGTTTTCTGAAAAATTTAGTACAATTTAAATTATTTATTTCTACGTTAATCTTGTTGCTTATATATTTCACTTTTACTTATTGGTCAATTTAATATATTGAGTTTCAAAATGAGGCTTATTCAAAACATGCTCAATTTATAAGGCATATTCAGTTTAAAAGACATATTCAATTTAAAAGATATATTCAGTTTGAAAGATATATTCAGTTTAGAGGGCATATTCAGTTTGTGAGGTATAATCCAGGAAAATGTCCTATTCAATTTATAAGATATATTCAGATCAAAAGGCATATTCAATTTGCATGATACATTCATTTCAAAAGGCACATTACATTAAATTTGTGAGGCATCTTTAGTTTAAAAGGCATATTTAATTTAAAAGATATATTCAGTCTAAAAGACATATTCATTTTATAAGGTATGATTATTTTAAAATGCATATTTAATTCATAAGGTACATTCAGTTTATAAGATATATTTTCAGCTTTATAATATAAATTAAATTAAAATTATTTTTTATTTATTATTTTATTTATTAAAAA